TCCCTGGAGGTTTTTAAGATAAAACTGGATGTGGCATCAGTGCCATGGGCTGGGAACCACAGTGGGGTTGGATCAAGGGTTGGACTTGATGATCTCGGAGGTCCCTTCCAGCCCAGCTGATTCTGTGATTCTATGATTGTCCTGGGAAACACTAACAGGCACAAAAATTAAATGGGAATCTGGGGCAAGGCCAGTCCTTACCTGCTCTGATTTCTCATCAGAGCTGCTCGGGGTCTCCGAGGTGTCCTTCACAAAGTAGTTGTCCACCAGGTCAATCTGCCGGCACTCCTGGCGGCAGATCGGGCACCGGATCACCCCCACTGCAACACAGGAGCACAGCTCAGGACAGGGACAGCAACAAACACAAAACCCCTCAGACTGATCCCCTCACCTGAGTAAACGAACAGATTTCACCCCCAAAAAACACCCCCCAACAAAACCCTCACCCCTCTTCAGGAAAGGACCCCTCACCCAGAATGAAGCTGTGATGATCCTGACATCACACTCAGTTTTTCCTATTTACTTCTTCCCCCCCAAAAGTGCACGTTTTCAGCCATTTGTTCTCCCCAAGGCAAATATTTCATTTAGATTGCAAAACTAACACTTGTTAATTATTTGTTATAACAAATAATTAACATTTTGGTTAATGTGGTCCATCCCTTCTCAAGACAAGCATTAAAGAGGGGTGTGCCCAGAGACTGGAGTGACCTAGTGATGTCCCTGAAAATGCCATGGCAGTTGTGTATCTCAGTGTTCTCCCAGATATGACAGAGGAAGATTTCTAATAAAACCTATTTCCATGAGGTCAGGGAGGCAGATGCAGTAATAAAATTCTACTACTTTGCTTTGTTATCCTCTGTGATCACTAAATTAGTTTTATGTCCTCAGCAGAGCTGCAAAAAAGTTACTACATGAACCAAACTGATATTTAAAGATGTCTATGAACAACCTACATGAAGGTTTGAAAACCTATTTATCACTAAGGTAATGGTTCGTACTTTCTTCACAGAAGTGTCATTTGATCTTAAATCAAATTCCTATACAATTTATTGAGAATATAGCTCTCAAGGAGAAGCTTTTCAAGCCATTGGGTACTTTTATACACTGAAACACCCGAAACAACTTTGAGAAGTGTAATTAAATGACACTCAACTCCTTTGTGGATATTCAATTAGGACAGCAGGACTTATTTCAGAGAGATTAATTACATTAGTAGTGAAGTAGCATTCATTTCTTCAAGTGCTAAAAATTAATGATGGCTTCAGAACACAGGAGATTCACTGCAGAGCAACAATAATCCAACTAAAAATTCCCTGTCTCATCAAACCAAACACATCTCAAGAGCAGGATGTGAAAAATAACCAGTACTGCAGCACCTACATGTACAAAAGCTTTCACATACACAATGAAGAAGAACCTTGAGGTTTTTTTACTACTGAGAGACAAAATCCTTTAGGAAATACTGGATGAAAGCCATCTAGGAGCTGATGTATATATACTCACAGAACAAAAATTTCAGATATTGACCATTAAAACTGCTCCATCTCAACCAGATCACAACTAAACATTATTTTAGTGCTGTCTTGGGTCAAAGACACGAAATATTGTAAGAAAACAACAAAACAGAGCAAGCCCAAGATCTATAATCTTCACACAACAACAAGTCAAATTCCACAGATGCAAAGCTCTTCCTACAAGGCAAGTTATGGGTTGGTTTTAAAGTAGACAAATTAATGAAAGATGGAATAAAATCAAGCCTTTTGATACAACTGACAGCCCAGGGGCTGGATTCTGACCATGGGTAATTCCACCTTGCCCACTGCTTCTGTCAGGGAGGACACAAGGAATGGGAAGTCCCAGATCCTGCTCTCACAGTCAAACACCCAATTTTGGCACCTCCACATTCAAACACAAGTCACACACAAGGTGCCCCCTGTGTTCTGCACATACCTCAAAAGAAACAAGGCCTTGCCATTCTCATTTAGCACATTACACTTCTTTTTCACATCTCAACATCCATTACTTCCAACAGGAGCTTGCCAATAATATATGAGCCACTAAACATCTCATATCCTGGTCTTTTAATCTAATATAAAACAAATTACTGCAGCACCATTTGTACTAGAAACTGAACTGCAGTACTGAAAAGATACAGATGTGGCTGATTTTGTGAGGGGAGAGGGAAAAGTAGACAAAATCACGCTGAAATAATACTGACATAAAAGAATAAAATCCTTAGTTGTCAAAACTTGAGATAATTTACAAGCTAACAAAGTTTATTTTAAAATTTAGTAAGAATGTTTTTTAGGACAAACTAAGGGTCAAATGTTTATATAACCTATGAGAAAAACAAGGTTTCACTACCAGTTTCAATTAAAAAAATTCTTATGTAAGAAAACAAAAGTAAAGGTTAAAGTATCATCCTTTTATATCATTCTTTTTATACCCCAGCAGAACTTCCTACATTGTTTTTCTGCATCAAACAAATCAAACACATTAGTCCTGGTACACACATTTCCACTGTAACTCTGCTTCCCAAAAAGCCATGTAACCCCTTCCAAGGAACACATCAGCACACAGCAAAGCTACTGGTAAAAGATCAATTTTTTTTCCCTAAATTACAGTTGAATTAGAATTAGACACATTCATATAAATTATGAAGGTCAGACTAATTTATGATCTCCTCCCAATCCTACTTATTACCACCAAGATTTCCAGTGTCCTCCCAGATGTTTCATATTCCTTTGAAGCCACAAATCGATGCTCCAGAGGTCAAGAGCAGCACTGGAGCGAAGAGCTGAGAAAAGGGAAGTTTCTTTCAGGAAGTCCTGACCACACCACGTGAAACTCTGCACTGGGGGTCTAAAACAATTCTGTACAGCAGTTCCTCTCTCACTTACACTGTCACCAACATACTGCAGGAACTCAGCATTAACTGCAGGAACACAGTTATACATCAGGTGCTGAAAAAAGAACAATAAAGCACCCCCTGAACTTCACCAGGTGCTCCTGGGAATATCAACACTTCCATGAAGAGATCCAAGAACAATCATCCTTTGGACCTAAGAGGACACAGGAAATGATGAACTACTTTACAGGAGTTGCAGGTAACAGGAGTGGGTTTCCAAGCTCCTTACACTGTATTTAATAGGACTGACACTGCTGGGTTTTCCGCTTGTTTCTATCACACACCTCACAATGGTGTGTCAGACCTGTAACGACCATGAGCACAAATATTTATCACCTCTCTTCCACAGCACTCCACATACACAGCTCTGTGTACCAAATTTTGCCCTCCCTGCCATTCCCTGTGGGAAATAAATTACATCCTGTTCCCAATTCATGATGAGGTTCAGAACGAGCTCTGCTTCTTCTCAGACAATTTGCTCCAGAACAGCAAAAATATCTGCAAACATACATGTTTCCTATCCCCCGTCTGCTGCTACAAACACAACACACAGGCTAAATGGAGTTTCCTAAAGCTGATTTAAGTGAGAAGCAGGAAGAGCTTCTTACCTGGAACTTTGGATTGAGAGTCCAGCAGGCAGGAAAACCCTGCCTTGCATTGCCAACCCCACTCAGAGGGAGATGGGTTTCACCTTCTCACATCATGAGCCATTCCCTCCCTAGCAGAGCTCCCACAGCCTGTAATAAGGGAGAAAAGACTCCCAGATTCCTTGGAAGACTCATATGGAGTCTCCTGACAGGGTCAGACAGAGCCATTCACCTGGGACGCTCTTTTGAGCTGAAAACCAACACAAAGGAGAAGGGTTTTGTCAGAGCAAAGAGATGCAAGGACCCAAATTTTCCTACACATGTTGCACTGTTAGTTATACAACTGCTACACTCACATCTCCTTACATTGCACATCAGATCCTCTTATTTGTCAAAGCCTTTAAGAACACTAATGAGAGCAGCATCTCTGTAATCCTTTTAACTGCTTATGATTTAGATAAAGCACGCTAAACTAGACCACAGACATCAAAGGATGGCAGAGAGCACGAAACTGAAGTAATTTGAGGATAAAAGGTAGTTTTGTTTCCATGAAAACAGAAAGGCTGCTAAAAAACCCTGCATCATAATCCAGCAGCAAATCACAATGGAACACTGCAAAGAACTTCAGATTTCAAATGGAGGATGCTTTTGATCTACTGCTCCCAACTCAAGCTGCAACACAAACACTCTTATTAACTGCAACTCATAACTCTGAGAATATCTTGTACATATTTATGTTTAAAATTCCTCAAGGCTAACTATGCTCCTTTGGGGGCTATTTGCATGCAGCTCAGAACAGGTAGTTTTTTCAACAGGTTTCATCTTGAACTAGTTTCAGCAGGAAAATTATTCAGAACCTGCTCAGAATTCATTTCTCCAGGCTGACATATTAGTCCCAACTACACTAAAATACTCCCAAATTTTAAGGATGCTTGAGAGCTACAGAGATGGAAGGGGAAAGATTGATTCTCTGCACTTCCAGCCTTGTAGGATCAAACCAGAGGCACTCTGCAGAGAAAGCTCATGCCCAGTCTTTGGCTGCTGTACCCACTTCCAGCTCCATATTCAGGAATTCAGGCCCTGGCACTTTTAACCTCAGTTGAAATGTGCCCCCAGTCCATCTTTGTTGGGCAAAACACATTCTGCCCAGTCAGAAACTGTGTGTTCAACTCATACCCACTACTACTGCTCAAGAAAAAAAGTGGAACTTTCTGCCTCTTCTTTGCTCCCCACTCGCCCTTCTAGAATTTCCTCAGATGTTCCAGGAACCAGCTCTAGAACAGCAAGGCTTCCTGAACCACTAAAAATTAATGTTTCCCCACCAAACACAGGTACTACCATGCTCTGAATCAGGTTTTCTAGTTTTTATTTACAGACACTAAAGAAGCTGCCTGGGAACTTCCAGCCCTGGGATGGAAAGGGAACACACAAGGAGCCCTGGAAACTTATCTACTGGCTACAAACACTCCAGGAGCTACAGCAAAATCAGAAGTTCCACACTGAGGGATCCACATTCACTTGTTGACTTCAAGCTGACTTCAGTCAACTTAAAATAAACACATCACAGCCCAACCAAACACCACTTAAACCTAAGAGAGAACAAAAAGCAATAATGGAAAGTAAAGGCACTGAAGTTTTAGCTCCAAGAGAGTTATTGATCTGAATGAGGATCATATGGATGTGATGAGATTATGGATCTGAATGTGGGAGGGCACGGAATGCACACAGTGTAGGTGATCCAGGGATAAGACACTGCAAAAATCACTTTGCACCTCAGTAGCACCCACTGCTCACCACTGGATCCCCTCCATCACTGAGATATCAC